ACTTGAACTCAGCTCTGGACCAAGCAGACCTAATAGACATCTATAGAACTCTCTACCCCAAATCAACAGCATATACATCCTTCTCAGCACTACATAGCACTTATTCTAAAATCGACCACATAATTGTAAGTAAAACACTCCTCAGTAAATGCAAAAGTCTTTCAGACCACAGTGCAATCAAATTAGAACTCAGGATTAAGAAACTAACTCAAAACCACACAACTACATGGAAACTAAACAACCTGCTCCAGAATGACTACTAAGTAAATAATGAAATTAAGGCAGAAATAACAAAGTACTTTGAAACCAATGAGAACAAAGAGACAATGTACCAGAATCTCTGGGACACAGCTAAAGCAGGGTTAAGAGGGAAATTTATAGCACTAAATGCCCACATCAGAGAGTGGGAAAAATCTAAAATAGACACCTTAACATTGCAATTAGAAAAGAACTAGAGAAGCAAGAGCAAACAAATTCAAAAGCTAAAAGAAGACAAGAAATAACTAAGATAAGAGTAGAACTGAAGGAGACAGACACACAAAACCCTTCAACAGTCAATGAATGCAGAAACTGGATTTTCGAAAAAAATAACAAAATAGATAGACCACTAGCCTTACTGATAAAGAAGAAAAGAGAGCAGAACCAAATAGACACAATAAAAAATGATAAAGGGTATGATATCACTACTGATCCCACAGAAATACAAATGCTATCAGAGAATGCTATAAACACCTCTATACAAATAAACTAGAAAACCTAGAAGAAATTGATAAATTTCTGGACACATACACCTTCCAAAGACTAAATCAAACAGTTGAATCCCTGAATAGACCAATAACAAGTTCTGAAATTGAGGGAGTAATTAATAGTCTACCAACCAAAAAAAGCCCAGGACCAGACAGTTTCACAGCCAAATCCAACCAGAGGTACAAAGAGGAGCTGGTACCATTCCTTCTGAAACTATTCCAAACAATAGAAAAACAGGGATTCCTCCCTAACTCATTTTATGAGGCCAGTATCATCCTGATGCCAACACCTGGCAGAGACACAACAAAAAAAGAAAATTTCAGGTCAACATCCCTGATGAATGTCGATGCAAAAATCCTCAATAAGATACTGGCAAACCAAATCCAGCAGCACATCAAAAAGCTTATCCATCATGATCAAGTTGGCTTCATCCCTGAGATGAAAGGCTGGTTTAACATATGCAGATCAATAAATGTAATCTGTCACATAAACAGAACCAATGACAAAAAAACAGATGATTAGCTCAAGAGATGCAGAAAAGGCCTTCAATAAAATTCAGCACCCCTTCATGCTAAAAACTCTCAATAAACTAGGTATTGATGGAACATATTTCAACATAATAAGAGCTATTTAGGCTGGGCACGGTGGCTCATGCCTGTAATCCCAGCACTTTGGGAGGCGGATGCAGGTGGATCATGAGGTCAGAAGATTGAGACCATCCTGGTGAAACCCTGTCTCTACTAAAAATATAAAAATTAGCTGAGCATGGTGGGGCATGACTGTAATCCCAGCTACTCAGGAGGCTGAGGCAGGAGAATAGCTTGAACCAGTGAGTCGGAGGTTGCAGTGAGCCGAGATCACTCCACTGCATTCCAGCCTGGTGACAGAGTGAGAGTCCATCTAAAAAAAAAAAGGCTATTTATGACAAACCTATAGCAAATATCATACTAAATGACCAAAAGCTAAAAGTATTCCCTTTGAAAACTGGCACAACACGAGGATGCCCTCACTCACCACTCCTATTCAACAGAGTATTGGAAGTTCTGGTGAGGGAAATCAGGCAAAAGAAATAAATAAATAAAGGGTATTCAAATAGGAAGGGAGGAAGTCAAATTGTCTCTGTTTGCAGATGACACAATTGTATATTTAGAAAACCCCATCAACTGGGCCCAAAAACTCCTTAAGCTGATAAGCAACTTCAGCAAAGTCTCAGGACACAAAATCAATGTGCAAAAATCACAAGCATTGCAATACACCAATAATAGACAAATAGAGAACCAAATCATGAGTGAATTCCCATTCACAATTGCTACCAAGAAAATAAAATACCTAGGAATACAAATTCCAAGGGACATAAAGGACCTCTTCAGAGAGAACTACAAACTGCTCAAGGAAATGAGAGTATACAACAAGTGGAACAACAATCCATGCTCTTGGATAGGAAGAATCAACACTGAAAATGGCCATACTTCCCAAAGCAATTTATAGATTCAATGCTATTCCCATCAAGCTACCATTGACTTTCTTCACAGAACTAGAAAAAACTGCCTTAAATTTCATATGGAACCAAAAAAGGGCCTGTATACCCAAGACAATCCTAAACAAACAAACAAACAAAAAAAAGCTGAAGGCATTATGCTATCTGACTTAAAACTATGCTACAGGCCTTCAGTAACCAAAACAGCATGGCATTGGTACCAAAACAAATATGTAGACCAATGGAACACAACAGAGGCCTCAGAAACACCACCACACATCTACAACCATCTGATGTTTGACAAACATGACAAAAACAAGCAATGGGGACAAGATTCCCTGTTTAATAAATGGTGCTGGGAAAATTGGCTAGACATGCAGAAAACTGAAATTGGACCCCTTCCTTACACCTTATACAAAAATTAACTCAAGATGGATTAAAGATTTAAAGGTAAGACCTAAAACCATAAAAATCCTAGAAGAAAACCTAGGCAATATCATTCAGGACATAGGCATGGGCAAAGACTTCATAACTACAGCACCAAAAACAATGGCAACAAAAGCCAAAGTTGACAAATGGGATCTAATAAAACTAAGGAGCTTCTGCTCAGCAAAAGAAACTATCATTAGAATGAACAGGCAACCTACAGAATGGGAGAAAACTTTTGAAATCTATCCATCTGACAAACGTGTAATATCCAGAATCCACAAGGAACTTAAACAAATTTACAAGAAAAAAACAACCCCATCAAAAAGTGGGTGAAGGATATGAACAGAAACTTCTCAAAAGAGGACATTTATGTGGCCAACAAACATATTTTTAAAAAGCTCATTATCTCTGGTCATTAGAGAAATGCAAATTCAAACCACAGTGAAATACCATCTCATGCCAGTTAGAATGGCCATCATTAAAAAGTTAGAGAACAACAGATGCTAGAGAACATGTGGAGAAACTGGAACACTTTTACACTGTTGGTGGGAGTGTAAAATAGTTCAACCATTGTGGAAGACAGTGTGGCAAATCCTCAAGGAACTAGAACCAGAAATACCATTTGATCCAGCAATCCTATTACTGGTATATACCAAAAAAATTATAAATCATTCTACTATAAAGACACTTGCACACGTATGTTTACTGCAGCACTATTTACAATAGCAAAGACTTGGAACCAACACAAATGTCCATTAATGATAGACTAGATAAAGAAAATGTGACACATATACACCATAGAATACCATGCAGCCACAAAAGGAATGAGCTCATGTCCTTTGCAGGGACATGGATGAAGCTGGAAACCATAATCCTCAGCAAACTGACACAGGAACAGAAAACCAAACATCATATGTTCTTAATCCTAAATGGAAGTTGAACAATGAGAACACATTGACACAGGGAGGGGAATGTCACACAATGGGGCCTGCTGGTGGGTGGAGGGCAAGGGGAGGAAGGAACATTAGGACAAACACCTAATGCATGCAAGGCTTAAAACCTAGATGACAAGTTGATAGGTGCAGCAAACTACCATGGCACATGTATACCTATGTAAGAAACCTGCATGTTGAGCACATTTCAGCACATGTATCCCAGAAATTAGAGTGAAAAAAAAAAAAAAAACAATATGCCTGTTGGTGACTGTATTAGGTTGGGTTCTCCAGAAACAGATCTTGAGGTAAGGGCAATTTTCTTTTCCCATGTTATTATGGGTTGAATTGTGACCCTCAAATGATATTGTGAAGTCCTAACTCCTGGTACTTGTGAGTGTGACCTTATTTGAAAATTGGGTTTTTTCAAATGTAATCAAGTTAAAGTGAGGTTATTAAGGTAAGTCTTAATCCAATATGACTAGTTTCTTTATAAGAAGACAATGTGGGCCAGGTGCTGTGGCTCACACCTCTAATCCCAGCACTTTGGGAGGCTGAGGCGGGCAGATCACAAGGTCAAGAGATCAAGGCTATCCTGGCCAACATAATGAAACCCCGTCTCTACTAAAAATACAAAAATTAGCTGGGCATGGTGGCACATGCCTCTCCCAGCTACTTGGGAGGCTGAGACAGGAGTATCGCTTGAAACTGGGAGGCAGAGGTTGCAGTGAGCTGAGATCGCACCACTGCACTCCAGCCTAGAGACAGAGTGAGACTCTGTCTCAAAAAAAAAAAAAAGACAATGTGAAGACACACAGGGAGAAAAAAATATGACAATAGAAGCAGAGTTTGCAATGATGAACCTGTAAGCCAAGGCCCGAAATGGACTGACAGCAACCACGAAAAGCTAGGAAGAGGCAAAGGATTCTCCCCCAAGGTTTCAGAGGGAGCATGGCTCTTCTGACACCTTATTTTCAGCTTCTAGCTTCCAGAACTATAAGGCAAAATCTTTCTGTTGTTTTAAAGCATGGAATATGTAGTAGTTTTTACAGCAGGCTAGGAAACTTATACATCCTATCTGTTGATAACTATCTAGTCTGGACAAATCTTCCTTTCTTTGAAAATTTCCATGGAGGAAAAAAATAGAAGATATCTATGAACAACAATTAAAAAAAAGAAAGAAAGAAAAGAAAAAACATTGGAAAAGAAAAGCATCCAGGAAATCAAAAGATATTTCATAATGTACCTCTGAAATTATTTACTATAGGATTCAGTAGAAAATTTCAGGAAAATAGCTTTCATAAAATACAAGAATTTACACCTTAATTACTTGTCTTTCAGAAACATGGAAAAATAACTAAGCCAATTGTATTTTCAATAATTTATATTTATAAAATTAAATAATATTTATTTACCTGATTGAAGTCCAAAAAATAGTTCTTCATCTTGAAGCAGTTCTTGAACACAATCTAATCTCATGGTAATGGTTTCAATATCAACTAGAGGTTCTAATATATTAGAACGAAGTCGTCTACTCCCTCCAGGAGTCTTAGTATAATTTAAAACACCAAAGAGAGTGTGATTATTCCTTTGAAAACACAAGAAATGTCATTAAGAATACAAAGAAAAATGCAAAAAAATTTCATTTTCACTTATAATTAAATAATCCTATAATCTACAGCAATGATGCTTAAACTTTATTGTGCATACAATTACATGAGTTTCTAATTCAGTATGTCTAGGAAAAAGCATGAAGATCTACATTTTGGGCCAGGCACAATAGCTCACATCTATAATCCCAACAACACTCTGGGAGGCTGAGGCAGGAGGAATGCTTGAACCCAGGAGTTCAAGACCAGCATGGACAACATATGAGACCCTGTGTCTACAAATAATTAAAAATTAACTGGGCACAGTGGCACAGGCCTGTAGTTCCAGTTACTCAAAAAGCTGATATGGGAGGATTGCTTGAGCCCAGGAGGTCGAGGCTGCAGTGAACCATACCTGTGCCACTGTACTCCAGTGCAGTGACAGAGTGAGATCTTGTCTCAAAAAAAAAATGTTTTTAGATATTTTTTGAACAAGCTCCCAAATATGCTATTGGTCAGCAAACTATACTTTAACAAGGATGAATAGAATCTCCTTGCACTTTACGACTCTATTAGTTACAATACTCAGACTAATATAAAGTTTTCTAGTCTATATATTCCATCCATAATGGCAAGATATCAATAATATGTCCTTAAGGGTGGAGGAATTTTTATATTGTTAAAATAAGTATTTACTATAATCATCTTGCTCTAATGACAAGAAAATTTCATAATTTCTAAGTGATTTATAAAGAAACGAGCTATTATAAAGAATGCTGGCCAGGCACAGTGGCTCATGCCTGTAATTCCAGCACTTAGGGAGGCAAAAGCAGGTGGATTACTTGAGGTTAGGAGTTCAAGACCAGCCTGGCCAACATGGTGAAACCTCGTCTTGACTAAAAAAAAAAAAAAAATACAAAAATTAGCCAGGTGTAGTAGCAGGCACCTGTAATCTTAGCTTCCTAGGAGGCTGAACCATGAGAAGCACTTGAGCCCAGGAGGCAAAGGTTGCAGTGAGCCAGGAAGGCACCACTGCATTCCAGTCTGGGCTACAAAGTGAGACTCTGTATAAAACAAACAAACAAAAATAATGCATTTAGTTGGACTATTTATTAGATAACTTCATATAATACATATAAAAAATCTAATTCATTTTAATATTTAAGAAATATTTTTGAGCCCTTACGGTATTCAGAACTTTATGCTAAACACTGGGCATGCAAGACGGACATAATTCCTATCTTCATGGACCTTACAACCTAGTGGCTGACTGCCAATAACTTTTTTTTTCGATACAGAGTCTCACTCTGTCACCCAGGCTGGAGTACAGTAGCACTATCTAGGCTCACTGCAAACTCTGCCTCCTGGGTTCAAGTGATTCTAATGCCTCAACCTCCAGAGTAGCTGGGATTACAGGAGCAGCACCATGCCTGGCTAAATCTTGTATTTTGGTAGAGACAGGGTTTCACCGTATTGACCAGGTTGGTCTCGAACTCCTGGCCTCAAGTGATCCACCCATGTTGGCCTCCCCACAGTGCTGGGATTACAGGCATGAGCCATTGTGCCCAGCCATTGCCAATAACTTTTGTCAGTTTACTGGCCATGACTGAAGACAAAGAGCAAGGGGAAATAAACAATAAAAACAAAATACATATAATCATATCAAGAAAATAATTTCAGGTACAGAGACTGCTAAAACAAACAAACAAACAGGAATATATAGAGAAGGACCAGGAGGGTAGCTTTAGTTAGGCTGATTGAGAAAGACCTTTCTATGTATTTGACAGGAGAGTTGAGATCTGAATGATTAAAAAAGAAGGTAGCAATGCAAAGAGGATGATGGGATGGGAATGATGACAACAATAATGAGGATAGCTAACATAAAATGATACTTAGTATGTATCCAGAATTCTTCTAAGCACTTTAAATGTATTAACTTGTTTAATTCTAATAACCATGTTATAAGACAGACACTACTATTGCCCAAATCATTTTACAACAGAAGGAACTGAAGTATAAGGAAATTAGGTAATTTGTCCAAGATTTGCAAGTAAGCAGCATAGCAGCAATTTAAGCCCAGGAAATGTGGTTCCAGAACAATAAAATTAAGATTGGTGGAGCTTTGCAAGAATAGAGGGAGATGAATGAAGAGGCCAGGACATAGAAGTCCTTGTAGGCCAAATAGTCTGGATTCTATTGTAAATGTAAGGAGAGCCACTGGAAGGTTTTAAGCAGAAGAGTTACAAGATCTGATTTCTGGATTAAAAGGATATGACAGTCCAGCTATGATTAATATGTTGAGAATAAACTAATTACAGGAGGGTAAGAAAAGGGTAGAAAGCTAGAAGGCTAGTATAGTAGTCCATGCTAAAGATGACAGAGGTTTGGGTTAGGGTGATAGCCTTGGAAATGGTGAAAAGTGATCCAATACTGGTATATACTCTGAAGGTTGGATCAAGAGGATTTTCTGATGGATCAAATCTGAGGTGTGAAAGGAGAGGAAACAAGAATGACTTTCAAGATTTAGTCATCATACTGCCAGATTTTTGTCATACCAATTTAAACAAATTTTTAGGGAACTACTCATATCATCAACTGGCTGGGGGTCTCCCATCACACATACAATTTTTTGTTTTTCAAGAATTTATTTCTGCAGGAAAAAAGGAGGTGAGGGGCACACATAAACCTCCCATTTATTATATAAATAATGGATGTAACACTGTATCGAACAGCTGACAAGCCTATGGAAGCATTGGAGTTATTCAGATAGTTCAGTTATTCAGATGGTTATATCCATCTTAGAACCTGAGATTCTCTCATTTAAGTCTGTGAAAAGACTTTTTATGTGTTCCTTTCAACTATAATACTAACTCCTGGAGATTAGATATTTAAGTCTCTGTATCCCTAATATATAGCAGGAAGTCAAACAATGTTTGACAATGCTAATGACAAATAATGATAAAGTATCAAACATGACAAGGTAAAACTGAATATAAAACACTTTGTAATAACTATCAGGGTTGGTCATTGACTTTCTATGCTATGATAACATAGGATATAAAGTCAAAAACAGAGTAATTTTAAGTCATAACTTCTGTGGTTTTGATTTGTAGCTCCCTAATGACTAGTAATGTTGAGTATCTTTTCAAGTACTTACTGGCCATTTGTTTACCTCTTTGGGAAATTATCTATTAAGTTTCTTTACCCAGTTCTGAACTGGGTTGTTTTTTATTATTTACTGTAAATATCTTTTTAAAACTTGATTTTGGTGAAATATCTGACCAGTTCAGCAACAACAGTATAATAATTTAAAACATGCTTATTCAATATTTCTCCACCATTAGCTGGGCATGGCAGTTTGTGCCCATGGTTTCAGCTACTCAGGAGGCTGAGGCAGGAGAATCACTTGAGCCCAAAAGTTCAAGACCAGCCTGGACAAAATAGCAAGACCCCACCTCTTAAATAAAATTATCCATCAAATAATTTAAAGAATTTTAGGCTGGGCACAGTGGTTCATGGCTGTAATCCCAGCACTTTGGGAGGCTGAAGTGGGTGGATAACTTGAGATCAGGAATTTGAGACCAGCCCGGCCAATATGGTGAAATCCCATCTCTACTAAAAATAGAAAAATTAGCCAGGCATGGTAGCACATGCCTGTAGTCCCAGCTGCTTGGGAGGCTGAGACAGAAGAATTGCTTGAACCTGGGAGGCAGAGGTTGCAGTGAGCTGAGATCTCATCACTGCACTCCAGACTGGACAACAGAACTAGACTCTGACTCAAGAAAAAAAAAGAACTTAAAAGTAACTATTTAAAGAAAAATAAAATAAAATATACCAATGTATTTTATAAGAAAAACAGATGATCTTACCTACAGTCTTGATTATTAATTAACAATTCAAGATTTTGGGCTGATGATGAATCTATCATGGCCGTCTGTTCACTACCCTGGAAACAAATCTTCAGCGATTTTGGTGCATAAACTGAATTTTGAATAAATTCAACATATTTCAACAAAGCTGCAACAGCTGCAAGGCAATAATACCTAAAAGATGACCAATAATACATCATCATAAGTCTTTGGTATAGAAAATTATATATTTCATGTTAATTTATGAAAAATTATAAATATTTGCATAGCATTGCTTAAAATCAAAAGGAAAAGGTACACCAGGTATTTCATATTTTTGAAAACAAGGTAAATAACCTCTAAATCATAAAAATTAATGAAAATAAATAATTTATTCAAGTCTGACACTTAAGGGACTTTCAATTCCAATAAATCCTGTGTTAAGGATAACATTCAACCAAAGGTAATTTGCATCAATTTTTGATGTATCATTCTAAATATTCAAATAATGTTGGGAATATCTGATACTTTATTATTTACAGACAGGGTCTGGCTGTTATCCAGGCTGGGGTGCAGTAGCGTGATCTCAGCTCACTGCATCCTCCACCTCCCAGACTCAAGCAATCCTCCTGCCTCAGCCTCCCAAATAGCTGGGATGACAGTCATGTACCACCACACCCAGCTACTTTTTGTATTTTTGGTAGAGACAGGGTTTTGCCACATTGCCAAGGCTGGTCTCAAACTCCTTGGGCTTCCTAAGCACTGGCATTTCAGGCTTGAGTCACTGTGCCCAGCCTGGAAAAAATCTGGTACTTTAAAGGTAGAATCAGAAGTTCCCAATGTATAGAAAAGTATGTTATGATCTCGGTGAGAATAATGATTGTTATTAGCTAAGTAAACAGGTAATCCAATTTGGCTCAAAGAAAGTATCTATTTGGTATGTTCTAGGAAATAACATGGTATGGTTCCTAGAATATTTGGTATGTTCTATGAAATGATATCCAAAAATATCATTCTCCATCTCCTGCTGGATCTTTTTGGAATAAAGATAGGAAGTAACAGGAACACAGCTTTACCTGTGTTTCACTTCTACGCCCTCACATTTTCAGTTTACTGTAGCTACTTGAGCTTTTCATTCCAAAGTAAAGTAAGAAGCAACCATAATTAATAGATTTTGACAAATTTGGAGAAATTCTGTATAGATTAAGTTAGCAATATATGCCTTGTGTATAAATTTTAGTTAACTATTTCACTATTTCAGTAATTACTATGTATTATGAACCAGGTGATTTTCCAGGTGGTAGGAATGCAGCAGAGAACAAAACAGACAAAAGTCCCTGCCCTTGTGGAACTCACACTAGGGATTTATTTACTTTCCTTAAGTTATAACTTACTTGATGTGATATTGACAGCTGTGGGCTAGTAAAAAAATAAACAAACACCTAACTTACTTGGACTGAACCTCCATTAGGACAGTGCTGAATTCTGCTATGCATAACTGTTCAATGTACTCTAGTCCTTTTGTTTCATTGAAGTATTTCCTTTGGATAGTAGTGAAGTTAACATTCTGAAAAAAAGTTTTAATTTCAAATTAAACTTCTAAGTGCCATGTGCTTGCTCAGAACTGCTTTCTTAGACACATGCTGGTAGCTAGGTAGGTGGCTTAAATATTGTATAAATATTTTAATATTTAAATAAGAACTTTTCTTAGATATTTATATAAAAAGAATGTATCCTTGCTAAGTGAATCATAGTACAGTTTGTACTTCTAATCAGACCTCACTCTTATGAGTTTTAATGGAATATGTTAGATACAATAATAAAAAATAAACATGACAGTCTATGCCTTTTAGTAATTGTACTGTATAGAAACAACATAGTTTTATATTCATCTTTCCATAGTGTATCATAATTGAGAAAGGGTAGATTCTTATGATGCGCCAGGTAAAAAGATGAAAACACCAATTCTGCCTATCAAATCTATAATACATTATTTACATAAAGTGAATGGAATTTATTTAGAACAAAGAGAAAACAATAATAAAACTTTTTTCTTTTTGAGACAGGGTCTCACTCTGTCACCCAGGCTGGAGTACAGTGGCATGATCATGGTTCACTACAAACTTGAACTCCAGGGTACAAGCACTCTGCTTGCTTTGTCCTCCTGAGTAGCTGGGACTAGAGGCATGCACCATTATGTCTGGCTAATGTTTTTTCTTAAGCAGAGACAAGTTCTCACTATGTTGCCCAGGCTGGTCTCAAACTCCTGGACTCAAGTGATTCTCCCATATCGACCTCCCAAAGTGCTGGAATTACGAGTGTGAGGCATCAACATCTGGTTGACAATGAAACTTTTAAAAAGTGTGAAGTTGTTAAGTAAAAGGTTTACCTCCTTTCAATAAAACTAATGCGTAAGAAAAGGTAATATTATATTAGTAAACTTACATAAGAGATGTCAAGAATGAAAAAAATCATGACCAAGTGGAGAATGTGTTATGCACCAAGATTGTTTTAAAAGTTATCTCATTTAATCTTCATAATAATCCTATGACATATCTTATTAACTCCAGTGTTCACATAAATAAAATTCTGGAAAATCAAGTAACTTTTCTGATATCACACAGTTGATCTCTGCCAAAGCTGAGACTCAAATTTAGTTTTCTTTGAAGTCCATTTTCCTTTTATTTCATATTGCTTTTGATTTAATGAAGGTTGTTTGTTTTTGTTTGTTTGTTTGTTTGTTTGTTTGTTTGTTTGTTTTAGAGAGGAGTCTCACTACATGTTGCTCAGGATAGATTTGAACTACTGGAGGATCAAGTGATCCTCACACCCTGGCCTCTGAAGTAGCTGGGACTACAGGCACATGTCACTGCACCTGGCTAATGAAGGTAAGTGTAGTCATAATAGCAATAATGATAATAATAATATTGAATATCCCCTCTGCTTAAAATACTTTTACCTCAAATGCCTCCATATCTTGCTCTCTCCTCCATTCAGGGCTTTGCCCAAATATAACCTTATCAATGAGGCCATCTCTGATTACCCTATATAAAATATAAATTCTCTAGGAGGTTGGTACCTCCTATTGTCCCTAATTTACTGATGAAAAACCTGGAGCTCAAAGAAGCATCTTGCACAAGGTCATTTAGGGTTGAGATTTGCAACCGGGACAATCTGAGTTCTCTATTCTTAAGCATTATGCTATACTGCCTTATTATTAAAATGTACTGAAATTATGTTGTTTTTGCCTTTGGAGGACTTATCCCCCATTCCATGTGATTCTGGTAGGCCTATATATTATAGTATTCTGTGTCCCGCAACAAAAGGATTAGTCAATCATAGCGTGTCTACCCCCAGAAACAGTGATTAATCTAATGTGTCGGAAAATGAACAAAGCAGGATCAATCAGCATCCTTTCCTGGAATTCATATGAGGACACTGGAATAAAGAAGTTATTTTCCCTCTGGATTAGCTAAGCTGAGATGATATCAGCCTGGAGCCATCAGCAATCATCTTAAATCTCACAGAAGTAAACTATCTGCAGTAGATAAAGGATGATATGGGGAATGAGAGTAGTGATAGAGATTCTCTCCTTGACCAAACTCTGCCTGGGCTACTATAAGCCTTCTTCTCAACTAATCCTCCATCTGACCTATAAAGAGTTGAACAAAACACTAACATTGTTTCTAACTGTTCAAAGCCACGTCCCGAGGATGACCTTAGCATCTCTTAAAGTGCCTGCCTAAAAAAACTCAGGCTGCCAATAACAGTTTACTGTTCATTCCACTTACCACCTAAAGAGAGCATCCTTGTCTCCTATCCTCTGTGGGAGAGTAGGAGCCTAACTTCAATAAGTGCCAGTTAGCAAACCCAGATAGGTTTCACATAGACCAATCCCACCTTTCTACTTTTCGTATAATTTTATACTTCCCTGACTCCTGTGCTTTTACCCCTCCCTATTCCCTTATTCTCCCATTAAAATGCCCAGTACAAATTGAAGTTCAGTTCAGTCCACACTGGACCCTTTTCTCTGTTGCAATAGCATAATACTGATTAAAATATTTAGCTAGTGTTTGGTTTTGTTTACCTTAGACAGTAGGAATAAGATCTATTCAACCATTGAATTCCCAGTTACATAAGGCAATACATTTCCTTTTTTGCCTAAGCTAGTTTCCATCAGATTTCTGTTATTTACAGCCAAAAGAATTATAAGGCCTAATCGTAACAACAACAATAAAATATGAATGAAAGTTGGAAAGGTATGGATAAATAGGGGTGATGAAAAGGAGTATCAAGTTATAAATGAAAAAGAACAGATGAAGTGATTTATCTAATAGAGATAATAGATTTAGAATAGGGAACATCTCTGGCAATGAGGCAGAGACAGCTCATCTATACAGGATCTCTAAGAGTACCATGGCAAATCTTATATGGCTGCAGATGCTGAATTTATTAGAAACAGGAAAGGAACTCACTGGACTCTAAACTTCAGCTTGGTTCCTAATGTGTTAAGGTAAAAAGTCTACAAACATAACAAAATATAGTATATGCTGAAAATAATTGGCACTCCTAAGAAATTATTCCAACTGTAATCCCAGCACTTTGGGAGGCTGGGGCGGGTGGATCACGAGCTCGAGATTGAGACCATCCTGGTCAACATGGTGAAACCCCGTCTCTACTAAAAATACAAAAACTTAGCTGGGCATGGTGGCGCATGCCTGTAATCCCAGCTACTCAGGAGGCTGAGGCAGGAGAATTGCCTGAACCCAGGAGGCAGAGGTTGTGGTGAGCCGAAATCGCGCCATTGCACTCCAGCCAGGGTAACAAGAGCGAAACTCCGCCTCAAAAAAAAAAAAAAAAAAAAGAAATTATTCCAACTGCAATGCTGTCTACTTGGTTTGGAACCACAGCCCCATTCTAGGAAACAGAGAGATTTTTGCTAGAGGGAAGGAATAAATTATTAATATGTGGTGGGAAGGCCCTAATTGAGGAGAAGAGCATTTGTTGGATAAGGTTCCACAGTGCTTACCCACCACAGTCCCACAGATGGAGACTAGAGTAGCAGGCTAATTGTAAAGCAGTACATGTTACCAGGGGAAGCTGAAACAATGCTGTAATACAAATTAAATTCCCAATAGAAAAAAGTACTTGCTGATAGGTGCTATCCCCTAGAAGGATAAAAACTTCAATTTCAACCAGTCTGATAGCACAATAAGTAGTTTCCAGGAAGCTACACATAAGGGAAACCTAGGTTTTCTCTATTGGTCTGCCCCTTTTAGACTCTGAGAAACTTCCTTGTTACCTAAAACATTTTTTTCTGTTGTTTAAAGTAGATCAAGGGTGTCAAATCAAATAAGAAAATTCCCTATCATTTTTATTATCTGTATTAATAGTCCCCTTAGATTAGGATTTGTATTTATTGACTACTTTAGGACACTAATATAAAGTTACTAAAATTATTGTCCTTTATAATGATATTATTAAATAAGTGTTAAATAAAATGTTACAAATAAGAATAAAAATCACTTACCTTGAAATTTTCTGTGATCAGAGTGAACAACTTGGTGGAATTCCCCACAGTACAAGCAGTATTTGACATTATTATTTCCAAAGGTGATAAAATTTTGAGTTTAGTGATCACCTAAAATCATTCGAATAAACAATTTCTTAAATATAAGCTTAGGAAATAAAAAAGTTTCATATTTTTCTGAGATAAGTGTTCAAAATTAATTCATAGGTACACAAAACTATATCTGTTCTAAGGATATATTTCAATGAAAATGTTTCTAGCCAGATGCGGTAGTTCACACCTGTAATCCCAGCACTTTGGGAGGCCGAGGCAGGCAGATGACTTGAGGCCAGGAGTTCAAGACCCACCTGGCCAACATGGCAAAACTCTGTCTCTACTAAAAAAAAAAAAAAATACACAAATTAACCGGGCATGGTGTTGCATGCCTGTAATTTCAGCTACTCAGGAGTCTGAGGTATGGGAATGCTTGAGTCCAGGAGGCAAAGGTTGGAGTGAGCCAAGCTCACACCAGGCGCCACTGCCAGCCTGGGTGACAGAGGGAAACACTGTCTCAAAAAGAAACAGACAAACACCACCACCTCCCCCACCACCATCAACAAAATATATAATATATATATATGCAAATATATATATTTCTAATGGTAATATATTACACATATATATCCTATATAATTACTAATATAAAATACTATCATAAAATAGGCCACATTTTACTCACAATAGTTTCTAACAGCCTTAAGTTCGATAATTAACTTGAACTTATCAAATATGTATTCCCAAAATAAAACTTTTTGTAAATAAATTCTTATACTTAATATTTTCTCCATCTCCATGAAAAATATAAATATATCCAATAAGGGTAACTAAGGGCTGGGCGCAGTGGCTCATGCCTGTAATCCCAGCACTTTGGGAGGCTGAGGTGGGTAGATAACCTGAGGTCAGGAGTTCATGACCAGCTTGGCCACCGTGGTGAAAGGTTGTCTCTAGTAAAAATACAAAAATTAGCCAGGTGTGGTGGCACGCACCTGTAATCCCAGCTACTTGGGACTGGCTGAGGCAGGAGAATCACTTGAACCCAGAAGGCGGAGGTTGCAGTGAGCTGATATTGCACCACTGCACTCCAACCTGGGCGACAAAGTGAGACCTTTTCTCAAAAAAAAAAAAAAGGAGGGTGGGGAACTACGGCAATACAATCAGTATGGCCACACTGGTATAGTTTAAGTGTTGAAAAGTACAGAAACACAAATGAAAAATGTCTGCCTTATGCCTTAGCTTTTCATAAAATAGGTTATATTTCTTAGAACTATTCTAAACACAGAAATTCTCAATTTGTCTAACATTCTTGTTTTTTAAAAACTCTTTTCCTACTCTTTTGAAATTATATAAAAGTATAAAATACCCACAGATGAAGTTAGTACACAATACTAATACCATTAAGGTTGTTAGCTATAATAAAAAATTAATTATTAGGAAAGGGAAGTGTACATACTGGAGGACCATAAAGAGAAACTAAAGGAAGATAATAAAAAAATAATGAAACACTAGAAATAAAACACTAGATCACATCTTCAAAATCATAATTGGCTAGGCTCGACGGCTCATGCCTATAATCTTAGCACTTTGGGAAACTGAGGGGGGCAATTCAACTTCTAAGGGGGCAAGATCACTTAAGTCCAGGAGTTTGAGACTAGCTTGGGTAACAGAGCCAGACCTCACCTAAACAAAAAATTTAAAAATCAGCTGTGTGTGTTGGTGAGTACCTGTGGTCCTTGCTACTCAAGAGGCTGAGGTGGGAAGCTACAGTGAGTCATGATCATGCCACTGCACTCCAGCCCAGGCAAAAGAGCAAGACCTTCCAAAAATAAAATAAAATAATAATTGGGTCAATCAACATAGAAATTAGAAGGTAAGCTACCTCTACCTGAAAGATCATCAAATTCCCATGACAATAGGCAAGTGGCCCAAATTAATGATGAGTGATATAAAATAAAGGCAAAAGGCAAAATAAGAAGTGAAGGCAAAAACTTAAGAGGCTAAATTATGACTTCCTAGAATTCAGCTTTCAAGATTTCAACATTAAGGATTTTGATCTTTCAAGATTTCACCATCAGGATTATGACATTTGGGATTGTCTTTAAGGATTGTGATCAGTACCACATTATCACATACATTACCTTTGGAATAAGTCCAGAAATTATTAATTTGAAAATTTATATTTTCAAATATAAATATTAATTTTATTGAAATAAAATTAGTTAATTTTAGAAACTAATACTAACAATAGCTTATTCAAGCAACAGTATGTGTTTACATTCTTTTTAGGACAAAATATGTTTAAAAATAAAAATCAAATATAAGATAATTTTATTTTAATTCAGAGTATTTACATTGATGTAATAATGAATAACCTTTATCCTATCAAAAAACTAATCATGAAATCTGACTTTAAAATCTAGGTACTGCCTAGCAGAGCAACCATTTTCTAGGATTATTAATACTTACCTTTGCATATGTTGTGTTGTCTGCAAACTGGGATAGTATAATTTGGGGGTTTTTTAAATCAATACTTGCCATTCCTATTTCACCTCTGGCAAGTCCTCTCCCTTCTACGACAGCTACAATAACTGATGGGGAGTGTGCAGAAATCACAGATGAAGATGAAGCTATAAATTTTTAAATAAAAAAATATAAACATTGATAATAATCATTTGTATTTTTTTCTTTTGAGATGGAGTTTTGCTCTTATTGCCCAGGCTGGAGTGCAATGGCTCACTGCAACCTATGCCTCCTGGGTTCAAGTGAGTCACCTGCCTCAGCCTCCCAAATAGCTGGGATTACCGGCATGCGCCACCATGCCCAGCTAATTTCTGTATTTTTAGTAGAGACTGGGTTTCACCATGTTAGTCAAGCTGGTCTCGAACCTCTGATCTCAGGTAATCCACCTGCCTCGACCTCCCAAAGTGTTGAGATTACAGGTATGAGCCACCAAGGCTGGCCTAATGATAATCATTTCTAATTCTTTCACAAAATTTCTTAAAGCACCTAGTCTACGACATGGCTGCTGTTTAACAGACAAGGAAATAACCATTTCTTTTCCTCATCAAAAAATAACTTTTCATTACCAGAACAAATAAAAATGTTAATTCTCAGAGTATTTTGCCAAAACTTGACTTCACATTTAGAAATAACAATTTTTACATTGTCTTATTTTCTATTTTATTGCAATGGAGTCATAAAAGGAACACTAAACTTGGTGTCAGAAAACAGATTATTTACCTTATTACTCTGTAATTTAAAAGCTATTTGGTATAATCCCAGCACTTTGGGAGCTAAGATGGGAAGATCACCTGAGGTCAGGGGTTTGAGACCAGCTTGTCCAACATGGCAAAACACCATCTCTACTAAAAATGCAAAAATTAGCTGGGAGTGATAGTGCATGCCTGTAATCCCAGCTATTGGGGAGGCTGAGGCAAGAGAATAGCTTGAAGTTGAGAGGTTACAGTGAGCTGATACCGTGCCACTGCACTACGGCCTGGGTGACAGAGCAAGACTCATCTCAAAAAATGAAAAAATAAAATAAAAGCTATTTGGGGCTGGGCATGGTGGTTCACCTGCAATCCTGGTATTTGGGAAGGCCAAGGTGGGAGGATTACTTGAATCCAGGAGTTTGAGACCAGCCTGGACAACATAACAAGACCTCACCTCTACAAAAAAATTTAAAAATAGTTGGGTGTGGTGTTGTGCACCTGCATGGTGCCAGCTACTGAGGAGGCTGAGATGGGAGGCTCACTTGAGCTCACGAGGTTGACAGTGCAGTGAGCTGTGTTTCATGCCACTGCACTCCAGCCTAGGTGACAGAGCAAGACCTTCTAAAAAAAAAAAAAAAATTAAACATTATGTAACTATGAATTCCAATTATGAGATACCTGTGTAATGTGGAAATTAAAATTATAATGAAATATCCAGCATGTATGAGTGCTTACTAAGTGTCAAGAATGTCCTAAGTTATTTGATTAAATTAACTCACATAATTGTTACGACAATCCTATCAGATAGGCACCATTATTTTCTCCACTTAGTTATAAGGAGACCAAGGCATGAATGTAACTGGTAGAGACAGCATTTGTACCCAGGCAGTCTAGCTCCACAGCTGGTGTTATGAACCACTACAGACATTACTGATTTGGAGATCTGTGCCTTACAAACTATAAATGCTCAGGTAAATTGTTTAAACTTCTAAAGCTACCATTTCTTCATCTATAAACTAGAAATGCCAAACTTTTCCACAAGATTATTATAAGAATTAAATATAATCATATAGAAATGTTTTATAAAGTATGTGAAATTATGCAAAAATATGGGCATTATTAACATATGAAAAAAGTCAGACTCAAAAAATTCTAAAATCTTATTTTCAAAGAAGCAAACTAGTCTTTTATTCCCTTGTCAATCTTTTAATTAACCACTTTTCCTCCTTCTTTTCCCTCCCTGACCTAGATTCATTTCTTCTTCCATTCTTCTATTACAATGCCCATGAAAAACTTAAATATTTATGCTACCTGAGTCAGCAGTAAACTTAAGGATTCACTTAAAAATCTGTGTTCAAATCTCAGAAACCTTTTCCCCATGAATATTAGGTAATAAATGGTGGTTAAGTTTATATTAGATCCACAGAAGTCAGTTTAAGCTCTATAATAGAATATGACCTTCCTATTTTTAACTAGAAAATAAATACTAAGTTCCAGTGGAAATGTAGTACACAAAAAAGACATCTCCTCTAAGGTTCTGAAAGTATATTTATGCTATTCTCTCTCTGTTGTAAATAATATAATAATGAGCATCCTAACGAATAAAGCTTTTTTCTGGGTTTCTTATTACTTCCTTAAAACGCACCCTTAGAACTCAAATTACTGCAACAAATTACTGAAACACCATTTTTTTAAGGAGCTCAGATATATTGCCAAATTTCTTTTGAGAACTGGACCGATTTTTAATTCCATCAATAGTGTATGAGGTAAGTCAATCTTACTGTATCCTCATCGTTACTAACTTCTAGAATTTATTGTGAATATAAGTATTGGCTAATTTAATGGACTGCCACTTAAATCTATATTTTTAAAAGTACTATTGAAATTGAACATAATTTAATATATCCATTGTTATCTCTATTGTTTTCTTTTTAGAGATGCTTACATCATTTTAAATAATGTTTACTAGGTCTTAATGTTTTTCAGTATATTTTTATGAGAACTGTATAAATCAATGACAATAATATATAGTTGCTACCAATCTTGATATTTTTGCTATCTCAAAAATTTCTATTTTTGCACAATCTTTCTCTGTATAATTTCTTCCATTGCTTTTCTGCTAAGAAATTCCTCCTTCATTGAGATATTCAATATTCATTATTATTTTCTTTTTTCTTTTTTTTGAGACAGAGTCTTGCTTTGTCACCAGGCGCCAGGCTGGAGTGCAGTGGCACGATCTCAGCTCACTGCAACCTCAGCCTCACAGGTTTAAGCAATTCTCCTGCCTCAGCCTCCTGAGTAGCTGGGACTACAGACGTGCACTACCACACCCAGCTAATTTTTATATTTTAGTAGAGACCAGGTTTCACTATGTTGGCCAGGATGGTCTCGATCTTTTGACCTGCTGATCTGCCCATCTCGGCCTCCCAAAGTGCTGGGATTACAGTTGTGAGCCACTGCGCTCGGCCTCATTATTATTTTCTTATAAATTTTTTGAGTTTTTCTTTTCTTTTTTGAGACAGGGTCAGACTCTGTCACCCAGGTTGGAGTGCAATGGTATGCAATCATGGCACACTGCAGCCTCGAACTCCTGAGTTCAAGTGATCTTCCAACCTTAGCCTCCTGAGTAGCTGGGACCACAGGTGTGCCACCACACCAGGCTAATTTTAATTTGTTTGTAGAGACAAGGTCTCACTTTGTTGCCCAGGCTGGACTGCCTTCAAGCAGTCCTCCCATCTTAGCCTCCCAATGTTGGGATTACAGGCATGAGCCACCACGCACAGCCTGTTTATTTTGATCTCTCATCTTTCAGAAGTACATTTGGTTGCTTACCATGTCCAAAATGAGAGATGGTCAGAAGTACAGATTTAGATTCATATATAAGCAGTTGCTAATGGTTTACCTAGATGGCTGGGACTTGGAAGGAACATGATTGAAAGACTGGTGACAAGAACATTTGAGGAAGAAGTATATAAATGGATCTCTAAGATCGATCATAAAATTTAAAATATTTGCATCTTATGTGAATGTCCACCAAAGGACATCCACTGAAGAGGAAATTCTTAATCAAAAGAACAAAATAATGCAACCTAGAAAATATCATTTAGCTTTTTATTTCAGTTCTCCCTAAAAGATCTATTGTTTCAGTACAACTACAATTTCAACCAGAACCTCAATGTGTTTTTTGGTAGAGAACTTGTAAAATTGGCCCAAAATTTATATGGAAGAGCAAAGGGCCAAGATGAACCAAGACTCCTCTAAAGAAGAAGGTGGCTTCTGGAGGGAAGGGTGGTAGGGCTGTCCTACTGAATATCTAAATATCAAGATTTATTATAAAGCTAAAGATGATGTGATACTGGTACACAGCTAGACATAATGACCCAGGGAAGTTAAAAGAGAACTGGAAACATTGAAACAAACAGGAAATTAATCAAAATATTTAGTATTCTGAATATATAGAGTATTGCTAGAAATCCAGAAACATAAGCCTAAATAAAAATGAGTAAAAGACATGAACATTAATTTCACCGAATATTAAAAATATATAGCCCCAAAGTACACAAAAAGATAATCTCACTAGTAATCAGGAAAATGCAAACTCATATAGTATTTTACAACTGTTACGCTGAAAAATATTTTAAGAGTCTGACAATATCAAATGTTGAAGTAGACTTCTATATATTATTAATAAGAGTATACCATAATAACCAATAAAGTAACCAATAAAATTTATTATGATTATGATTATTGGCTAATTTAATAACCTTATGATTATGATGATGATGATGATTAAATTAGCCAATAATCATAATCATAATAAATTTTAGAAGTTAGTAATGATGAGGATACAGTGAGACTGGCTTTCCTCATACACTGTTGACAGAATTAAAAATTAGTCCAGTTCTCAGTATATCTAAGATCCTTAAAAAAATGGTAATTTTGGCCAGGCGCGCTGGCTCCTGCCTGTGGTCCCAGCACTTTGAGAGGCCAACGCAGGCAAATCACTTGCAGTCAGGAGTTTGAGACCAGCCTGGCCAACATAGGCAAATCACCTGCAGTCAGGAGTTTGAGACCAGCCTGGCCAACATAGGCAAATCACCTGCAGTCAGGAGTTTGAGACCAGCCTGGCCAACATGGCAAAACCTCGTCTCTAGTAAAAATACAAAATTTAGCCAAGCGTGGTGGTGCCTGTAATCCCAGCTACTCAGGAGGCTGAGGAATGAGAATCACTTGAACCCAGGAAACGGGTGTTGCAGTGAGTCCAGATGGTACCAATGCACTCCAGCCTAAGTGACAGAATGAGACTTTATCTCAAAAAAAATAAAATAGTAACTTCCCTTTGTTTCAGTAATTTGACTTCTAAGAGTGCATTTTAAGGAAACAATAAGAGACCCAGAAAAAAGCTTTATGCATTAAGATGCTCATTATTATGTTATTTACAACAGAGAGATAACAGCATAAACATACTTTTAGAACCTTAGAGATGTCTTTTATGTCTACTGAATTTCCACTGGAACTTGGTATTTATTTTCTAATTAAAAATAAGGTCATATTCTACTACAGAGCTTAAGTTTCTGTAGATCTAATATAAATTTAACCATTTATACATTGGTAGAACTACTTTAAAAAACAATTTGTCATTATCTTATAAATATATGCATTCAAGTAACATACCCTGTAACCAAGAAATTCTGTTGTATATACTTTAGAAAACTGTTATACATGAAAACCTATCTTATCTATCTACTCTTCAAGAAAATCTGGTAGATTTAGATAAAAATTAAGGTATAACAAAACTAGTATTATCAGGGTCAACTTTTAGATTTAAATGAACATAATGTATAAAAGGATACTCTTTCTTAAATGGTATACTCTCTCTTAAAAGGTCATACTCTTTCTTAAAAGGTCATACTCTTTCTTGTATGGTTTTTATCAGAATGGTTAAGATAATATAGACTTGCATTTATTAACAAACAATATCAGAAACTATGTTGCCTTATTAATCTACATTCAAATCACGAATACAGGTAAACTAATGTATTTATTTTTCATTCATATCATTTATAGATAAATTCAAATCAACTTAACAACCCTAATTTATAATTTATAAAACTTTTAAGTTTCAAAAGATCATCTAGGTTAATCTTCAACTTATGTTACCTGAATATCCCATTTGTGGTGTCCAGCTTTTATAACCTGATCTCTGAGGATTTCCAGTAGACAATGGAGTTTTAAGTGTTTGAGGATAATTAGTTTCTCGTGCAGAAGATGAGCTTGCACCAAAAGTAAAATTTGATGCATGTGTGTTTTCTACATAAGGTCTTTTGTTTCCAAAGTATGTACCTAAATTTGAAAAATTAAGAGTCAATTCTTAAAGATTTAAATTATGCAATAATTTATTAATCATTATAATTTATACTGTTTACTTTCTATAAAACATCATGTGAAAATGATTTTTAAAAAATATAACAGATTATAACAAAATTAATATTATTGATAATCTTATGTTAAAATATGTTAATATAGCTTTTACCTCTACAAGTTCACCACAACTACTCATGCTAAAATCATAAATTACCCTTTAATCTTCAAGTATACCAGATATGTTACTATGATTTGAATATCTGTCCCCTACAAAACTCACATTGAAATTTAATCCCCAATGTGATAGTAGAGAGGTGGGGTCTTTAAGAGGCGATGTGTCATGAGGGCTCTGTCTTCATGAATAAATTAATCCATTCATGAGTTAATAGATTAGTGGGTTACCATGGGAGTAGGATGGTGGCTTTATAAGAAGAGGGAGAGAGACCTGAGCTACCATGCTCAGCTCCCTCTCCATGTGATACCCTGTACCACTTCAAGATTCTACAGAGACTCCACCAGCACAAAGGCTCTCACTAGGATGTGCCTCCTTTGACCTTGGATTTCCCAGCCTCCAGACCTGCAAGAAACACATTTTCTTTCTTTATAAATTACCCAGTTTCAAGTATTCTGTTAAAAGCAACAGAAAATAGACTAAGACATATGTTTCATGTGTATAATAATTATTAGACCTCTTTTAACCTTCTGTCAATTTCTTTATTTAAATTTTCTCCTCCCATCCAAATGGCATTGTAGTTTTAGACTCAACTGGCTTTGGTTCCTTATTTAGGTACTTACTACTGATGTAAGATATTACCTATTTTTACAGGGTTGTCATAAAAGTTTTAAATAACTTACATAAACAAACTAGCATAGCCTCTTGGCACATAGAAGTTCTAGAAAAAATTAAAAATGTTCAGGCTCTGTTCTCCTATTCTCTTTGATTTCCACAACTCTGTATCTTGACTCTCTTTAAACCACTTTTAGTTTCCTTTGCCAACTCCTTTTTCCTCTGCCTCTTAACCGTTGGCCTCCAGGGCTTCATACTTTTAAGCCTTCCCTCATAAATCAACATTATACATTTCCTCTGGGCATCTCATCTCTCCTCTCTATTTCTATTAACATCTACTTCCTGCCAGGCAAGGAGGCTTATGCCTGTAAGCCTGTAAGTCCAGGAGTTCGAGACCAGCCTGGCCAACATGGTGAAACCCTGTCTCTACTACAAATACAAAAATTAGCTGGATATGGTGAGCCACCATGTCTGGCCCATAAACTTTTAAATAAAGGGACCAGATGGCAAATATTTTAGGCTTTGTGGGCCATGTAATCACTGTCATAATTACTCAGCTCTGACACTATCTTGAAAAGGCAGTCATAGATAACACATAAATGAGAATGACATGTTTCAATTAAAATGACTTTATTTCAGCCAGCCGCGGTGGCTCACGCCTGTAAATCCCAGCCCTTTGGGAGGCCGAGGTGGGCGGATCACGAGGTCAAGAGATTGAGACCATTCTGGCCATGGTGAAACCCCGTCTCTACTAAAAATACAAAAATTAGCCAGGTGTGGTGGCACGCACCTGTGGTCCCAGCTACTCGGGAGGCTGAGGCAGAAGAATCACTTGAACCCAGGCAGAGGTTGCAGTGAGCCGAGATTGCACCACTTCACTCCAGCCTGGCGACAGAGTAAGACTCCGTCTCAAAAAAAAAAAAAGACTTTATTTCTACATACTGAATTCTAAATTTCATATAATTTCAATATCACAAAATATTATTTTGATTTTTTAATCCTTTAAAAGTACAAAAATCATTCTCAGCTGCATTGTTCAATAAAGCGGCACATGTGGGTATTTAATTAAATCAAAATTAAATACAATTTAAATTTCGTCGGTCACACTAGCAACATTTTCAAATGCTCAAAAGCCACATATGGTTACTAGTTACCATACTGGGCAGCATAAGTATGAAACGTTTCTATCATCACAGAATATTCAATCAGACAATGTAACTCTAGGTCACTATATCTATCTCTTGGCCATAAACCTTTAGATATCTTCCCAGCATTCTAAATGTCCAAAAGTGAACTCTATCTTTCCCTCAAATTAAAATTAATTATTTAGCTGGGTGCAGTGGCTCACGCCTGTAATCCCAACACTTTAGGAGGCTGAGGCAGGTGGATCATGAGGTCAGGAGCTTGAGACCAGCCTGGCCAACATGGTAAACCTCATCTCTACTAAAGATACAAAAAATTAGCCAGGTGTGGTGGCACAGTCCTGTATTCCCAGCTATTCGAAGGCTGAGGCAGGAGAATAACTTGAACTTGGAAGGTGGAGGTTGCAGGGACCTGAGATGGCACCATTGCATTCCAGCCTGGGCAACAGGGCAAGACTCTGTCTCAAAAAAAATTAATTCTTTATTACCAGTATGGTCAATTGTACCAGTTTGTCCCTTGTCACCCTAAGTCATAATAAGCTTAGGAGACATTCTCAACTCCTTCCTCAACCCTAACACTCAGTGAGTGAGTCCTAGAATTCTTTTCTTTTTTTTTTCCCCTCCCCTCCCCACTCACAATTCTTTTTTTTAAACATCACTAACATTTAAATCCCTCTCTACTCCTCCCAGCCCATTTTAAGCCTGTATCTTCTTTGGTCCTTGTGCAAGTCTCACTTCTTCTTCTCCGTCTCCTTGCTTCCAGTATTATACCTCTCTAATCTATTCTTCACATCACCAGTAATCTTTCTGAAAAACAAATCTGATCAGTATCTCTCTTTCTTAATATTCCCATGTGTCTCCCCAAACCATAGGGTAAAATATAACTTCATTATATGGGTTCCAGCAGGCATCAATGACATACTGAAACTGGGATAATTTGATATAGAGAATATTTACAAAGATGTGGACAGGGTGTAGGGCTATTATCATAAAGAAGTCTGTAGAACCAACATAAAATGTTCTCCATTAGCATTCCTAGTTCTTGGGGAAGAGAGTGGTTGCCAGAAACCACTGTGATTGAGTGGGCTGTTTCTTGTTCTCAGAGGAACTGAAACTTTCAAATGTGTATTTCCCTCAAGTTTCTCTCTTCCTAGTCCATCTTGATATAAATATATGGACATCCCACAGGCTCTTCACATTCAGCATGTCCGTAACAGAACTCATCATGTTCCCTCTAAACGTTGCTTTGCCTACAAAATTCCCAGTATCAGAAAATACTACTACCATCTATCCAGTCACCAAAGCCAGAACATGGGGCTCTCTGGACAAAATTTGTCTCCCAGATCTAACTCCCACAAGTATATCTACATCCAAGTTTATCTGCACAGATCACTCTCCTCATCTAAGCAAAATTATTTACAGTTCTATATTCTGTGCCTTTGAATGTTTTTCTCAAGAATGCACTCTAGTTTCTCTTCTCTCCTCTTTCCTTTTGGCTGGCATTCTTCTTCCTACTTATTCTTCAAGACCAGTTCAAGGTGCACTTACTCTGTAAAATGTCTTTTCCCACTTTCGTCCCCATACTTTAATTATAAATACCTCAAAAACTATAAATACCTCAAATACAGTTATCTCTTAAATGTCTATTTATTGATTTTTAAGTCTGTCTTCTCTACTAGACCTTAAGTTTCTTGAAAATGTAGATTACTATCCCCAGCTGCTAACATAATTTGGGCCTTTGTTCACCTATTTGGGCCTTGGTTCTGTCTATAAAACCAGAACAAAAAAATCTACTCTGCGGAATTATTGTGAGGATCAAAGATACCATCTGCCTAGTAAAAAGCCAGAACAAAGTAGGTGCATATGAATTAGTGAATGTTATCATTACTGATAAAGTAAGTGGGTGACAAAGCATCTGATGAAGAGAGGGATTATACTGACAATGTTTTATTAGAAAGCAGGGTAAATATTAACAAGTGATGGGGGATAAAGGTGTAAAGATTAGAAACTGATCCCAATTGCTTTGATATCCTTCTAAAGAGTTTGATCTTTTACCTGCAGATATAGGGCTGGATTTAAGTGGCAAGGGTCATGATAAAATCATTTTCTACATAACTCTGGTGGTACAGTTAAGTAAGCTTGAAGGAAGGAAGAACACTTAGGAGTTTGCAGGCTAGGTGCAGTGGCTCATGCCTGTAATCTCAGCACTTTGGGAGGCTGAGGCAGGAGGATCTGTTGAGCCTAAAAGTTCAAGACCAGCCTGGGAAACATAGGAAGACACGGTCTCTACAAAAATTTTTTTTTAAATTAGCCATTTGTAGGAGCACACACCTGTGGTCCCAGCTACTTAGGAGGCTGAGACGGGAAGACTGCTCGAGCCCAGGAATTTGAGGCTACAGTGAGTCATGATCACGCCTCTGCACTCCAGTCTGGGCAAAAGAGCAAGACCCTGTCTCAAAAAAAAAAAATGCAGAGAAGAATTTAATTAATCATATAGTGAGTCTCAGATATACATTGGTCCATCAATAAAAACTTCAGAAGACAGTTTGAAATAAGAATCTGGAGTACAAATGAGATCTGAGCTGTGAAGATAGAAGTGGACTAGGAAAAAAAGGTTTAATGACATGCCCATAATTTGGGAAGAAAGGTGAGCACAGCAGTTCTCTGGGAGGCAGCAGAAAAACAGGGGCAAGTGGAATCAAGAAAGGCAAATTAAAAGAGTTTAAGAGAAGGCAAATCAAGAAAATTAAACATGGGCTCAAGGATCTAGAAATAGAAATTCCATTTGACGCAGCAATCCCATTACTGGATACATACCCAAAGGATTATAAATCGTTCTATTATAAAGACACGTGCACATGTATGTTTGTTGTGGTGCTGTTTACAATAGCAAAGACCTGGAACCAACCCAAATACCCATCAATGATAGATTAGACAAAGAAAATGTGGCATATATACACCATGGAATGCTATGTGGCCATAAAAAATGAGTTCATGTCCTTTGTAGAAACATGGATGAATCTAGAAACCATCATTCTCAGCAAACTGACACAAGAACAAAAAACCAAACACCGCATGTTTTCACTCATAGGCGGGTAATGAACAGTGAGAACACTTGGGCACAAGGAAGCGAACACACTCACTGGGCTAGGTGGGGGTGGTGGAGGGGAGGGGAGGGACAGCAGGGGGCAGGGAGGATGGGGAGGGATAACATCAGGAGAAAATGCCTAATGTAGGTGACCAGGGTCGGGGGGCGGGGATGAAGACAGCAAACCACTATGGCATGAATGTACCTATGCAATAATCCTGCAGGATGCAGGATGTGCACATGTACCCCAGAGCCCAAAGTACGATAAACAAACAAACAAAAAATGGGCCAGAGAGTGGTGGCTTATGCCTGCAATCCCAAGACTTGGGGAGACCAAGGCAGGAGGAGCGCATGAGGCCAGGAGTTTGAGACCAGCCTGGACAACATAGCAAGACTCTGCTTCTAAAAAAAAAAATTAAGAACATTAAATACAGCAGAAAGGTCACATGAGATGAACAGAAAAATGACCACTGGATTTGGTATTTGTTACTTTACCATTGCGTTGCAATCGTGTGTGAAAAATGGTGATGCTGTATCATGATGGAGACTAACAAAATAATAAATGATTTGAAGGATATGCATCTTTTTTGTTTGAGTCACCGTATCACTCAGCCTCAAATGTAGTGGTGCAATCTCGCGATCTCGGCTTAAGGTAGCCTCAACCTCCTGGACTTGAGATCATGCCACCTCAGCCTCCTGAGTAGCTGGGACCACAGGCACGCACCACCACACTCACCTAATTTTTTATTTTTAGTAGAGATGGGGATGGGGGTGGGAGGTTCACCAAGTTGGCCAGGCTGGTGTGGAACTCCCCGCCTCAAGTGATCCGCCCACCTCGGCTTCCCAAACTGCTGGGATTGCAGGTGTGAGTCACCCCATCCAGCCCACATCTTTTAATACTAATCATATAAAAACAAAAACAAAATCAAACAAACAAAAAATACGAAACATATTATTTTCCTTAAATATGAAATGAAATGTTCAATTTAATCTATTTTATCCCAGCCTAGCAGGATTTGGAGAATTAAATTCAGCAGCCAAAGATCAGCTCACCACTTGTATCAGTAAACTCATACACAAACGGTCATTTGTCAGACACCATCAGGGACGTTATGTGTGATACTTCAGCCTTTCTCAGAACTGAGCCACTATTGACTTTTCAATAGAACCAATTTGAAAAGTCAAGGCTTCTAATCTCCCAGACTCACCAAATTCCCAGGGCACTCGGATCTCACGCCCCAACCAAACCACAACTGAACTTCGCTGTGGTAACCACCACCCAGGTGTCCCTGAGCCTCCAGGAGCTGCCGGCCTCTAACCTCGAGGAAACTCCTCCACCTAACTACTTACCTTGGGCTGGCCGGGAGCTTGGCACAGGGCAGGGGAGGCTGCTGCTGCTGCTCCGGTCGCCCGCGGCTCCTGACGTGCCGGGAGGGGTGGATGCAGAGACGGCCTGGGCTGAAGGGCGGCTAAGAGGAGTCTCCTGGAGTCCGAAATTGTAGCGGGGACGCTGTGGTGAGCGTGTTTCTCCCGACGAGAGGGAAACCGCTGGGGCAGAAGGCGAGGTTGATGAGACCTCAGGCCTCAGCATCCTTCAAAACTTTCCCTAACCCAAGTATAGGTTTCTGAAGGCCAGCTCCCGTAGCCTAACTACACAAGCTGCGTCACTGAAAAGGGCGGGAGAACTGCACGCCGACGCACTAAGCTGCACTGCGCAGGCGCAAGCAGGCCTCAGCTTTCCACATAGGTTCACGTGCTTCCGGTCTATGACCCTGCTCCCAGCCATTCCCAAACCCATCACTTTCCATATGAACTTCATAGGAAGCCCCTCTACCTGCAGGTATCACACTTAACAGAATTCTGTAAGGCGCATCAACTACCACCTGATTTGTTACCCCCTTTATTCTCACAGCACTCCATCTCCCTTATTGCAGAACGTTACATGCACTTCCCACACCTCCAAGCACACTAGCTTATCTTTAAATGTAGAAACCATCCAACACAGTACACCCAGTGCCTTTGACACGGTGAGGAACATGTAATGCTCGCAGCATAACCCACCTAAGGTTGATCTTGTGACCAAATACATTAAATATCCAATTATATTATCACAAAACAGTACACACATGGCTGTGCATAGTCCAGTAGGAACCAGAGAAAGACAGGGTGAGATCTCCCAGTTCAGTTCCCCATCCATTTCTACTACTGTGCTTTCAAACATAAATCAGTTAATAGCACACTATAAGTTCGAACTCCAGCTCTGCAATAGTGACCTTCATAAAATTACTTAAATATGGCCAATTTATCAGAGATGCATGGATTAAACATGACAAAATTTTCTGGATACCATCATATAAAAGCTATTAGAAGACATTTACACCACTACTGAAATCCTGCCACTGTTAAGTTTTATCTCAATGAACACTTATGCACAGCCTGGTTCACCCACACAGTGAGAAGTTCTTAACGTCTCTGTTCTTAGAATGACTATCGCACAGGGTGTTGCAAACTACTTAAAATCTCAATTTCCATCAAAAAAATTTTCAGATGGGGCACAATGGCTCCTGCCTGTAATCCCAGTACATCGAAAGGCTGAGGTCAGAGAACCATTTCACCTTAGACCAGACTGGGTAAGAAATTGCCTGTACCAAAAAATAAAAAATCAGCTGGGCGTAGTGGACATGGTGGCAGGAGCCTGTACTGCCTGGTACTCAGGAGACTAAGATGGGAGGATTGCTTGGGCCCAGGGGGTTGAGGTTGCAGTGAGCTGTGATTTCACCGTAAACGCTTAAAGAGTGATTGTACCCATTTTAGTTTTGGAAAAAAGACAGGTGCAAAAAACACTGTGGCAACCATCAACTTATCCATTACTGCTATCTTATTTGAAGACAAACCCTTCCTTGGGTAATTCTACAGTCCAAATCACAACCCCATTTTAAGATGGTGGCTTGCCATTTAACCTAAATTAAATCTGTGACCGATTCAGAATAACCATATTCAAACCTATCAATCATTTCCAAATTTCAACAGCCATTTATTTTGTGCACCATTTAATTCATGTATGAGTTCTGTCCAGTTAACATTCTTGTTGACACAAATATTACATCAGCTTGTTATAGAACACATGAAAGGTATACATGGGGTGAAAACAAAAAAATCAGGTAAAAACCACGAGTTTTTTTTAAGTTTGCTCAGTTACTGAAACAGACACAGAAGTATACACAAAAAAACAGTAGTCAGAATAACAGGACTTCACGATAAAAAGCAGAAAATAAAATACAGGTCTTTATTTTACAATATGTATAATTATATAATTTATCATAATAACACAATATACAAAATATTAACAGTAGTCATTTTTAGATTCAATAAGCACTTCAAATACAGAAATGTTAAAATGGCAAAACTACACTTTGCAACTTTGGCTTCAATGACTCTAGCTCACTAGCTCAGGCTGAACATTCACTCTCTGAAGCACTTCTTCAGGCATGCAAAAAACAGGATTAACAGGCTTAATCTGTTCTTCTCCCAAAAGTGACAATCCAGCAATTCCAAATAAGGTATGAAAAGGATCCACCTATAACAAGAATTTATAAAGAGATTGCAAAACGAAAACTTCTTAACCAAATTGTTATTAATACCCGACCTTTACCATACATTTATTTCATTAGCAACAAGAAATTTCTGTAAGATTCTTCTATATCCTTCATATATTCTACAATAAGTAGAAAAAAAATACTGCTTTCAAAGCAACACTTGGAATGCCACCCTGAAAATCCATAAAACCATGAAGTAATACAACACTAAAAAACATAATTTATAGTAATGTCAGAAATATTACTTGCCATATCTCCTGGCCTGTCTGCAAATCCCCCCGTTTCTTCATCTTGACACGCTAAGATGAAACTACGCAGTTTCTCTCTATCAATCCAATGAAGTCTTCCAATTATCTTTAGGGATGCCAACACCCACCATGAATAGCACACATCTGGTAACTAGGAGGGGAAAAAAATTGCCAATTTTATTCTTTTATTTCCTAATTTTGAGAACAATTTAAAAGTGGGTTAAGTCTCACTCTCAGGTAATCTGATGTTTGAAGCATCAAACCATGCAGAGGGACAAAAATCCAGGGATATACTGACATGCAGTGCTTGAAATACTCGTTTAGAACAAAAGATAATTAATGGCTAGAAGACCAAATTCCAATTCATAGGTAACCATGCTGAATATTTCAGTACTCACTGATAAGCATGCCATCTACCTTATTTCTAGCTGCAGTGAATGCCTAACTTGGCCCCTTAACCAAGAAGCCAGCAGTATACAGCATCATGAAATCCATAGGTATGGTTGTTTTTCCATAAGCGCTGGTCAGGTGGGTAAACACCTGCTTAAAACATCACCTAAAGCCTAACTCTTCAAGTTATCATGACCTAAATCTATAAAGAAAATCCCACCCAAGGCTGCATTTTAATAAGATCCCCTGAAGACTCATAGGCCCATGAAGAGTTGCCCTAGACTTGTGTGCAAGTGCATGCCCTGGTGCTCCCCACAGCCGCCATTTTTTCTGTTGACAGTTCCTCAGGGTTTTTACTCCACTCTGCTCTAGACAGCTACTATGGATATTTCTCTATGCATTATTATTTATTTAGGAATACTGAGGTTTAAAAATAAAAATACAGGCCGAGCACGGTGGCTCACATCTGTAATTCCAGCACTTTGGAAGTGTGAGGTGAGGTGGGTGGATCACCTGAGGTCAGGAGTTCAAGACCAGCCGGACCAACATTGGTAAAACCCCATCTCTACTAAAAATACAAAATTAGATGGGCATGGTGGCATATGCCTATAATCCCAGCTACTTGGGAGGCTGAGACAGGAGAATCCCTTAAACCTGAAAGGCAGAGGTTGTAGTAGCTGAGATCAGGTCATTGCATTCCAGCCTGGACAACAGGAGTGAAACTCTGTCTTTAAGAAAAAAAAAAACAACCAAAAAACAAAACGACAATGACCCAGCTGAAAGTACCACCATGTCCTATTCAGAGGGCAGGGGCACAGCAAGCTACAATCCCTGAGTCAAATCTAGATTATAACCTAAGAATAGTTTTTACATTTGTAAATCATTTAAAAGTTAATTCTGGACAGAGCACGGTGGCTCATGCCTGTAATCCCAGCACTCAGGGAGGCCAAGGCAGGTGGGGATCAAGGCTTGCCAATATGGCAAAACCCAGTCTCTAATAAAAACAAAAAAATTAGCCCGGTGTGGTGGCATACACCCATAGTCCCAGCTACTCTGGAGGCTGAGGCAGGTGCATCACTTGAACCGGGAGGCGGCGGTTGCAGTGAGATCACGCCACTGCACTCCAGCCTGGGTGACAGAGCGAGACTGTCTCAAAAAAAATTCTGACATATGAAATATGAGTGTATCTGTCCATAGTAATTCTAACTGGAACACAGCCATACCCATTCATTTTTTACCAAATATGGTTGCATTTGCTCTACAGGAAAATTACATAGTTTCAAATGAGTGTTCACTATTTATCCCTTACACATCTGATATAGACCCACCACGTAAAGGAAAATTTATTTTTCAAAAATCCAATTTGGCAAAATCAACTGTCCCTTCACATCCATAGACAAGCATGAAGATTTCTGTACAAGACTGTCTAGAAATGGACATCACGATCAATGAGCATTTCAACCCATGGGGCTCTACTTTTGCCAAGGGCAGTCTTTTAGTAGGAGGTATTACTGAAAAATTACAACAGGGAAAGGTAATAAATAAGCTCATGGCCAATTTACAAGAATATTGAGATGGGCAAGACAAAGCAGCATTCACTCAAGGTTCTAAAGCTAGCAGAACACAGCTTATCAAACAATACCTTCTCTGGCCTTCCATTGAGTCCACCTGAGGGTAACTGTCGTTCACAAAGCCACCAACCAAGTAAATCAGAATTCACTTGGTGCAACTGACTTGTAATAGCCAGGAATCCTGTGCAACAATAGATCTAAAATTACAGACATAAAGTATATGTGTATAATAATTTCTTGATAGTAAAAGTGATAAAACTCAAACTACTGAAACACCACTTTATAACTTAAGTTTTTCTTTCTGATCTGACAAATACTTAATAAAAATGTGTTTTGGGCCGGGCGCGGTGGCTCAAGCCTATAATCCCAGCATTTTGGGAAGCCAAGGCAGGTGGATCACAAGGGCAAGAGATCCAGACCGTCCTGGTCAACATGGTGAAACCCCGTCTCTACTAAAAATACAAAAATTAGCTGGGCATGGTGCCATGCGCCTGTAGTCCCAGCTACTCAGGAGGCTGAGGCAGGAGAATTGCTTGAACCCAGGAGTCGGAGTCTGCGGTGAGCCAAGATCGCACCATTGCACTCCAGCCTGGGTAACGAGCAAAACTCCGTCTCAAAAAAAAAAGAAAAAATGCGTTTTGGTGCTTATGAACCTACTTATGTTTGCTCAGGTCAGAGGGATCCACTGAAAGAGAAAGGTATATAGTATGTAAAGCAAACTAATGTTAGCAATTAAGTAATTCTTATATAAGATACCATATTATGGTCAAAGTAACTTTATTTGTATTTGACAAAGATTGAAATAACCCATTTTCCTGCACTGGTTCTTGCTTCCAAAATGACAATTTTCATCTGGACTAATAAAATTACCTGGCCAGCATGGGATTCAGAACCTGGTCTGCAACCAAATCCACCATCAAAGTTCATACAGGATAAAACAAATTCGATTGCTTTCTCCACATTAATAGCATCAAGCTTCCCCTACAAACAGGAAGAAAAAAAAAAAAAACAAAAAAAACCGTTTAATTCCAGAGTATTCAGCAGCTCAGACTCAAAAGAAAAAAAATTCCAGAGTATCCATGAACTTCAATCATTTCGAACCAATATTCAAAGCTTACCAACAAAGCCAAGGTTGCCACCGCACAAAAAGAGAATCTTGTATCAATTTCTCCTATAATAAAAAGACAAAAATCAAGGCAGGTGTTACCAGACTATATATGAGTCATCTAAAAAACTCTGCACAACTACCACTTTAACAGCAAATTGACCAGGCACAGTAGCTCCTACCTATAATCCCAGCACTTTGGGAGGCTGAGGTGGGAGGTTAATTAGAGCCCAGGAGTTTGAGACTAGCCTAGGCAACATAGTGCGACCCCCATCTCTACAAAAACTTTTTTAAAAAATTAGCTGGGGATGGGCACCATGGCATATGCCTGAAATCCCAGCACTTTTAGAGGCCAAGGGCGGAGGTTCACCTGAGTCCAGGAGACCCCATCTTTACTAAAAATACAAAAATCAGCCAAGTGTGGTGGTGTACATCTCTATAATCCCAACTACTCGAGGCTGAGGCAGAAGAATCGCTTGAGCTTGGGAGGTGGAGGCTACAATTAAGACAAGATTGCACCACTGCACTCCAGCTCCTGCAATTCCCATTTCCCCCCTCCCCCCAAAAAAGCTGGCTGTGATGGTATGATGCTGTATATAGTCCCAGTCACTCAGAAGGCTGAGTCCTGATGATCATTTGAACATGGAAGGTCAAGGCTGCAGTGAGCAGTGATTGTACCAGTGCATTCCAGCCTGGACAGAGCAAGACCTTCCTTATAAGAAAAAAACAATATATTATCTTAAGCTACTTAAAGAATGCCCAGAAAGAGAAGAAAACTAATAGAACTGAAAGAATTAGTCATTTCCTAATAATGCAAATAAACTTACCCTATTTTATAATAAAGTAGATTTTTCACATCCCATGAAGCAGCTGGTCTCTCTGGCCTGCACTGTTTTCATCCCTAAAGCAGAGATTATCTACATTTATCAAATAAAGCTCTATTCCCTCCCTCCACTCAAATATTCAGCAAGTTTGTAAAGTTTTTTGAATATTTTTCCCTTACCAGCAAGTAGTTTTTAAAAAACTTTACAAAGCCACCAAATATTGGGGGAAAAAAATTTCACCTACCTTATCTTTTAGACTGGCCCCCTCTGTTCCAGTGCTCCTGTATGCTGATATAACTACCACAGTGCATGCTGGAAGTTCCAGCAGACCATTAACTCCAGTTAGACCAGCTGCTTAGTGGGACCTGAAAAGATAAACTTATAAACTGGTTACTAGCAAAACCAGTACATTTTTATATTGGTATTTTGGGTAGAATGGACTAAAATCTGACATTACCCCAAATATCTCCAGCAAAAGAACCATCTTCTTTCTGCAGACTTTTAACATATTCCACAACTTTATTTACGTCAATAACATTAATACTGTCATACAGAGTAAGAATCTGCAATAAAGACAAATACTAGGTAAATACCCCTTTTATGTTTATTCTAAAGCTCTTATGCTCAACTTTTTTCTTAAAGACTCTCCTGTCATTCAATAAAATTACACATATCAAGAAAACCCAAATCTTTATTCACAAAATATAATTTTTCTACAAATAAATGTTAACTTGGCATTCCAACATACTCCAATATACTAACATACATACAAAGTCCTGATCTCATCTCAGCACCCAGCACTAGACTTTAAACCACCAGGTAAGATGTTCACTAATATCAAACACAAATAGCTATTTTCCAGTATTCACACATACTGAAGCTAAAAATTTTATCCTCCAAGGTCTCAGTGTAATTTTAGAACTCACATCAACTTTGGATTCAGCTAATACATGCCATAACATCATTGACCTTGTAGGACAACTTCACTTTTTGACCAAATCCTATATATAGTTTCAATTCCCATTTCTTGAAGAGAACATACTATCAAGATCGTTGAAATTTTAATTAGTATTTACCTGGACAGCACTAAGAGTGTATAAAAGATGAGGATCATGTCCGATACTAGCACTTATTCCACCACATTCATGTTGGCAAGACTTAATAAATGCAAGAATCTCTTCTCTATTCATGCGATGAAGTTGTCCCATGAGATCCATTACTGTCAAACCCCAATAGATGCCACTCATTCTCAAATATTCGGACATACAGTATTCCTAAAACAATACACAATTTTAAATGTGCCAGTTTGAACTGATGACAGGTTATAAAGAGATTAAACACAAAGCTAAGTCATTAGCCATACTGCTAAATTTTAACCTCTCCTGATCTTAACAGCACTCATCAGTATTGAGTTTAAATTTGTGACTCAATGTCAGAAGCCATCTTCAGACACAACTGTTAATCAGAAAAAAATTATCTGAGGACAGAATTAATCTATGGCTGACAATACAAATAGGGCTTCTAGTTTTCCCACAAGCCAACCAGACAGAAATGCATCTACTGTTTTCATCAGTAAAGTTCAGGGAGAATATTTCTTTCAGAGTACCTATACCATATTTATCAGGCATGTATTTTAATGTGGAGTCTGTACAGAACCTATTATCTATTAGTAAATTATATAACTACATGAAAACCAAAATGGCCTAAACATGCCAAAGATGTCTAAGCTCAGATAAAACACTGGCTAATCAATGGTACATGAACATTAAGAGTCCAGAAACAAAGTCTTCCCACACTCAACAATGCATTACATTTTCAGAAGTTTTGTGGCTGGGTATGGTGGCTCTCATCTGTAATCCCAGCTATTCAGGTGGCTCACTTAAACCCAGGAGGTGGAGGTTGCAGTGAACCCACATCACACCTCCGCCCTCCAGTCGGGGCAACAAAGTGAGGTTCTCTCTCAAAATGACGTTTTAAGAAGTAGTGCAGCTCAGTTCGCTACTAACCCAAATTCAGAGCATGCAGATAGCAGGTAAAGGCAGAAACAAGTCCGGCCCCATCCGTATGACCTTAACTCCATGACTGCTACTCCAGTATTTTCAAGGTTATGAGAACCTAACACTCAAGTAAAAAATTAATACATACCATATATCCTAAATATCAGCAGATAAGCTTAACACAATTGAGCTTGGATACCACAGGGAAAAACATTTACTTTTAACTAAGTTGTTTACTACTTTTGGCTAAGATTGTCCCAGAGAGCTTTCCTCAAAATTTAAAAATTTAAGGTAAAACTTTTTCAAGGTCTCAGAGTAATTCTAGAGATCAAGTGTTATTACACATCAGCAGTAGATTCAGATAAGACATGCCAAAACATCATTGACCTTGAAAGTCTTACTCCTAACTACAAAAAGGGACACCTGTTTGTGCCCCAAACCCTCATCTACTTTGTCTGGTGAGCACTCTCAGTATAGGTGAGTAGCTGGGATTGCAGGCAAGCACCACCGCGCCCGGCTAATGTTGTATTTTTGGAGGAACGGGGTTTCACCATGTTGGTCAGGCCAGCATCAATCACCTCGTAATTCGCCCGCCTCAGCCTCCCAAAGTGCTGGGGTTACAGGCGTGAATCACTGCGCCCGGCCAGAACTATGATTCTAGTAAGTCCACAACCTCAGGCATTCAAGGCACGCTTAACTGAAATCCAAAAGCACAGCACATCCTCAGTTCTCTGAATGGAGTTGGATACCGTTTTAAGATGAATATAAATACTCCCTCACTGCTTATGACTGTCACACTTCTTTAAAGTAAACTTTCCAACATAAAAAAAAACCATACATACATAATCGTCTTTCTTTGATCCATAGGATGCGATATAATCTGCATGTTTCTCCAATAAGAGAGTGTCTGGTGCATCTGACTTGATAATAACATCCTTCTGTGGAGTGCCCTTTCAAAATAAAAAAGCAGTAATCTCAATGTTTACCTTTACAACGTTCTGCCCCACAGCAGATTCTACATACATCTGAATTTTCAGTTGATTTCACCTTGCAATAGGAAAACCTTCCATTTAAAAATTGTAACTAACTAGGGAGACTGAGGTGGATGGCTTGAGCCCAGGAAATTGAGGCTGCAGTGAGCTTAGATGGAGCACTCCATCCTGGGCAATGGAAGACCCTGACTCTAAATAAAGTATAGGTATGTATATATTTATGACAAAAAAGAACTTAAATGATTCAAGCTCCATCTTAGTCACAATTCAGGTAATTTTCAGGTCTCAGAGTAATTCTAGAGCTAAAGTAGTAATAATCAACTTTAGATTCAGAATACATGCCAGCTCATCATCGACCCAAAAAATTACCACCAGCATTTTTTGTTCGTTTTTCATTCAAAAAGGTAAGTAAAAATAAACACCAGGCCGGGCACGGTGGCTCACGCCTGTAATGCCAGCTACTCAGAAGGCTAAGGTTGCAGTGAGCCGAGATCACGCCGTTGCACTCCAGGCCAGGCAACAAGAGCGAAACTGTCTCGAAAAAAATAAACACAATAGAATATCAAAGCTTAGCATTTCAGGACAACTTACCGTTTACGTATGGTAGAAATCATTTTTTAAAAAAATCTAGCTAGCCCTTAATTTGCAAGCAAATTCTTGCTTAATCAAATGCAGGTTTCAAAGCACCTTCTAAATACCCCAAAAGATGTTCAAATATACTAAATAAGCATTTCCTTTAGCTCCATCTTCTCCACCTTTAATCCGAGTCTCTCTATCTGCAGAAGTCCCCATGGGATGCCGCTCTAGTTCTTTTCGTATCTCTATCTTCCTTATTGAGAGTACACTGCAGTCACTATACTAGGTCATGAAGATTACCGGAAATGATTAAGTACCGAAGTTTCCATTAATCCCATCAAAAAGCTACGAGGACAGCCGGGCGCGGTAGCTCACGCCTGTAATCCTAGCACTTTGGGAGGCTGAGGCGGGCGGATCACCTGAGGTCAGGAGTTCAAGACCAGCCTGACCAATATGGTGAAACCCCTTCTTAAAAAAAAAAAAAAAATCTACGAGGCCGTCAAGCGAGATCACATCACTAACGATTTCCAAGAAATTTTTGACAGCCCCCTCCAAAAAAAAAAAAAAAGCCATCAATCAGCCCTAGCTTTTTAGAAGGATTAAGAAATCGGACGACTCAACTCTTAACAGGCCCTCCCAACAGAAGACGGCCTGGGTAAAATTAGAAGCGAAATTACCCGCGAGGTCTGCAGAAAACGCTGAGTAATATTTCACCCTCAAGAAACCTTACAATACCTGTGTCTTAACCATTCTCCAGCACCAGGAAAACCTACCGCGATCAGTCTGCTCAACCCTACACCACCCTGTCTGCTACCAACACATCTGGACAGCAGCACGAAACGCACACCTACCATGTCTAACAGCGAAAAGAGTGAGCAGGGTCAGTTCCTGGGTAGACTTAGGAGCCGGGCGCCTGCGCAGAAACACCTCTCAGGCCCCCACCGCCCTCCGATATAGCTGACCACACTTCCGCCTGAAAGGCAGAGCGGTTCTTAGTCTGCCGTAGGACCCCACTGATTGTTCATAGGTGTCCTCAGCTGCCTGCGTCCAAAGTCTCTGGCGCCCATATTCACGTTCTGTAGTTAGTCTGATTTGTCTAGCAACAGCTTTAAATAATATTTAGATATCTGAGTTGCTTTTAAGAAATCATTTGAGCCGGGCGCCGTGGCTCACGCCTGTAATCCCAGCACTTTTGGAGGCCGATGCGGGCGGATCACCTGAGGTCAGGAGTTCCACACCAACCTGACCAGTATGAGCAAACGCCGCCTGTACTACAAATACAAAAATTAGCTGGCCGTAGTGGCCGTAGAGGCTGAGTACTCCCAGCGTAGTTGGGAGGCTGAGGCAGGAGAATGTCTTGAGCGCAGGAGGCGGAGGTTGCAGTGAGCCAGGGCGGGGAGAGAGAGGGAGGAAGAGAGAGATAAATAAATAAGAAACAGGAAGAAAGAAAAGAAAAAAGGAAGGAGGGAGGGAAGGAACGAAGGAAATTATTCTAGTTAGGAAGGGAGGGAGGGGAAGGAAGGAAGGAGAGAGAGGGAGGGAGAGAGAAAAAGAAAGAGGGATGATGGAGTGAAGGAAGGAGCGAGGGAGTGAAGGAAGGAGCGAGGGAAAGAACGAAGGAAGGAAATTATTTGTTCTAGTGAAAAAGGGAGGAAGGAAGGAAAGAAAGAAATCATTTGTTCTAGTTTGAACTCCGGAAGGAAGGAAATCATTTGTTGTAGTTTGAACTCCTGGATGCAAGCAGTCCTCTCCTCTGGGCCTCCCAAAGTGCTGGGATTACAGGCCTGAGACACTGTGTCTGGTCAGAACATTTTTCTTCTTCCTTTTCTTTTGAGACAGAGTCTTGCTCCTGTCACCCCGGCTGGAGTGTAGTGGCTGATCTCGGCTCACTGCGACCTCCACCTACCAGGTGGAAGGGATTCTGCCTCAGCCTCTCGAGTAGCTGGGATTCAGGCACCCACCACCCTGCCCTGCTAATTTTTGTATTTTTAGTAGAAATGGGTTTTGGCCATGTTGGCCAGGCTGGTCTGGCACTCCTGACCCCTGGTGATCTGCCTACCTCGGCCTCCCACAGTGCTGGGATTACAGGCATGAGCCACTGCGCCAGGTCCATTTTTGTTTTTTTAAAAAGACAGGGTCTTGCTCTGTTGATCAAGCTGGAGTGCAGTGGTGCTATCACAGCTCACTGCAGCCTCCCACCTCAGCCTCCTAAGTAGCTAGGACTACAGGCATGTGCCATCATGCCTGGCTAGCGTGTGTGTTGAGATAGGAGTCTCAGTATGTTGTGGCCTCCCAGAGTGTTGGGATTATAGATGTGAGCCACCATGCCCTGCTCAGAGCATATTTTAATTAACGTAGATTAGCTTGGGTTTTAACTTTTAACATAAATGTGCCTCATATAGTATGTGAGCATGCACTTGTGATTTTGCTTCGGGCCCTGCAAATGTAAGGAGTGGGCCTTCTCTCTTTCAGTATTCTCCCTTTCTGGGACTTAAGTTGACATGTTAGACTTCCTTTTTTTCTCTGTTTTTTGAGATGGAGTCTTTCTGTCGCCCATGCTGGAGGCAGTGGTGCCATCTCAGCTCACTGCAACCTCCACCTCCTAGGTTCAAGTGATTCTTCTGCCTCAGCCTTTTGAGTAGCTGGGATTACAGGCACGTGCCACCACACCTGGCTAATTTTTTGGTATTTTTAGTAGAGATGGGGTTTCACCATGTTGGCCAGGCTGGTCTCAAATTCCTGACCTCAAGTCATCTGCCTGCCTCAGCCTCCCGAAGTGCTGGGATTACAGGAGTGAGCCACTGCACCTGGCCAACATGTTAGACTTTCTTCCTACATCATTCTCATTTCTTAACCTCTTGCATGTTTCACCTTTTTTATCTTTCTGTGATGGATCCTGGATAATTTATTCATATCTATCTGAATATATAGTGTTCTTTTTTTTGGTAAAGTCCATGGGTTAGCAGCATCAACAGCACTCTGAGAGCTACTAGAAAGGCAGAGTCTGAGTCACATCCTAGACCTAACAAATAGCATTCTACATTTGCATAAGCTCCCCAAGGATTCATATGCATTTTAAAACTTAAGAAATACTATTTCAGATTAAATTCCATTGTTTTTCAGATCTTCCTGGTGTTTTTTTGTGTGGTTTTTTTTTTTTTTTTTGAGACGGAGTCTTGCTCTGTCACTCAGGCTGAAAGTGCAGTGGTGTAATCTCGGTTCACTGCAACCTTCACCTCTTGGGTTCAAGCATTTCTCCTGCCTCAGCCTCCTGAGTAGCTGGGGCTACAGGCACATGCCACCACGCCCACTTTTTTTTTTTTTGAGATGGAGTTTCGCTCTTGTTACCCTGGCTGGAGTGCAATGGTGCGATCTCGGCTCACCACAACCTCCGCCTCCCGGGTTCAGGCAATTCTCCTGCCTCAGCCTCTCAAGTAGCTGGGACTACAGGTACGCGCCACCATGCCCAGCTAACTTTTTGTATTTTTAGTAGAGACGGGGTTTCACCATGTTGACCAGGATGGTCTCGATCTCTTGACCTCGTGATCCACCCACCTTGGACTCCCAAAGTGCTGGGATTACAGGCGTGAGCCACCGCGCCTGGCCTTTTCTTTGTATATTTAGTAGATACGGGGTTTCACCATGTTGGCCAGGATGGTCTTGATCTCTTGACATCATGATCTGCCTGCCCTGGCCTCCCAAAGTCTGGGATTACAGGCATGAGCCACCCTGCCTGGCCTTGCCTGTTTGCTTTTATAGATTATTGTTTTCCATTTTGTAATTTTTCAAAAATTTTTTTAACATATTTCACACATTGAGTTATTTTATTCAGTTGTCTCTTGGTATCTGTAGGGTACTGGTTCCAGGAACCCCTGCCAATATCAAACTCCAAGGATGCTCAAGTCATTTATATAAAACAGCGTAATATTTTCATATAACCTATGTACATACTCCCATATACTTTAAATCATTTCTAGACTATCTGTAATATCTAATAAGATGACTACATATCATTCCATTTGTGTGGATTCAAGGTAGTACTTGCATGTAACAAATTCAAGTTTTGCTTTTCGGAACTTTGTGGAATATTTTTTTTCCCTGAATGTTTCTTATCTGAGGTTGGTTGGATCCACAGATGCAGAACCCATGGAAAGAGAGTACGGCCAACTGTACTGTTTATTTTATCATTCTAATATCTGGAATCTTGAGGTCTGTGTCAGTCCATTGTCTCATTGATATAAAGAAATACCGTAGACTGGGTAATTTATAAAGAAAATAAGTTTAATTGGCTCATGGTTCCACAGGCTATACAGGAAGCACAGCTGGAGAGGCCTCAGAAAACTTACAATTGTGGCAGAAAGTGAAGGGGAAGCAGGCAAGTCTGATGTGGCCAAAGCAGGAGGAAAAGTTGCGGGGTGGGGGCGGGGGTGGGGATGGGGAGGTGCCATGCAATTTTAAACAACCAGATCTCACAGGAAAACTCACTCATTATCATGAGGACAGTGTTCAGGGCCATTGGAAACCATTACCATGATCCAATCACCTCCCACCAGGCCCCACTTCCAACACTGGGATTACAATTGAAATTGGGATTTGGGTGGGGACACAGATCCAAACCATATCAAGGTCCCAAATGTGTTGTTTTTAATTTTCAGTTGATTTTTTTTCGTACTGATTGGTTCTTTATTGATTTTGAAGATGTTTGGTTGTCAGCTCATATTAGAGCCTCATTGGAAGGTGCCTTTCTCTGGAGCATATTTGAATTTGCTCTGACCAGAGCCAGAGAGTGATAATTATCTAAATTTACATTATGCAAACAATGTGCTGCCTAGCTGGCTCTCTAAGAAGTGCTTCTACCCTGAAGGAGCTCAGTGGGAAAGACAGTTGGTAAATAATCTGTGACAAAATCTCTGACAAAGGTAAGCTTAGTATGCTAAGGAAAAGGTGACTGTAAATCAGATGGGAGAGAGTTGTGGTAGAGGGGAAAACAGAGGGAGGCAAGGATTGATCAGATCTCCTGGGAAAAGCAATGCTTGAAATAAGAATCACGTAAGCATTAGATCCAAAAAGTAGCATTATTCAGATTGAGTTAATAACTGCTGAAGGAATAAAAAATAAACCTATCTTCCTACTGTATAAATTCATTCATCTAATATGTATTGAATGCCTAGAATATGCCAATATTATTCTAAGTTCTGGGGGTACAGTGGTAAGCAAAACAGAAATATTTGTAGGAAGTATATATTCTAACAATTCATTTTAAATTTTATTTATTATTATTTTTGAGACAGGGTTTTACTCTATCCTTAAGGCTGGAATGCAATGGTGGGATCAGGATTCACCGCGGACTTTACTTTCCATGCTCAAGAGATCCTCCCACCTGTCTCCAGAGTAGCTGGAACCAAAGGTATTTAATCATAGCTATTTATTTATTGAAATATGGTTGATGCAGTGTTCTATTTTTATGGTATATGAGGAAGCCCTTTTAAATTCTTTTTTTTTTTTGAGACGGAGTTTCACTCTTGTTACCCAGGCTGGAGTGCAATGGCGTGATCTCGGCTCACCGCAACCTCTGCCTCCCGGGTTCAGGCAATTCTCCTGCCTCAGCCTCCTGAGTAGCTGGATTACAGGCACGCACCACCATGCCCAGCTAATTTTTTGTATTTTTAGTAGAGACGGGTTTCACCATGTTGACCAGGACGGTCTCGATCTCTTGACCTCGTGATCCACCTGCCTCGGCCTCCCAAAGTGCTGGGATTACAGGCTTGAGCCACTGCGCCTGGCCTTAAATTCTTTATAAGCCATTGACTTCAATTAATGTATTCTGCTTTTGTAAAAGGTGACCATCAACATGCCCAGCTATTATTATTATTATTATTATTATTATTTAGAAACAGGGTCTCCCTGTGTTGCTTAAGCTGGTTTTAAACTCCTGGGCCCAAGAAATCCTCCATCCTCCCGCCTCAGCCTCCAAAAGTGTGGATTTACAAATGTGAACCACCACCCCCAGCCCAATTCTTGAATTACATTTGAAAATTCTATTCCTAGGTATTTATCCTACAAATATATCCCCTTGGTTGTGAAGTCATGT